GCATAAAAGAAAAAAACTGCTCCAATCTGCTGCTCATTAAAGTATTCATGAAAAAATACATTGTGGCAATGTCACCATTCCAATGACGTTATGTTAACACCATTATAATATCAATGGGAAATTTATTTCATTTTGAATATATACAATAAGATGCATGTGAGAAGATAAATAATTATTTTACTTACATTTGAAAAACCATACATTTTCATAAACCATAGAACAATGGCGAGTTTAATTGCAAGCAGGTGGTGGCGTCACTTTGACGTCACTGAGTACGCCATGGCAACCAATTAACAACAAGAAACAAACTATATTTTCATTAACTGTTTGCGAAAACATGGCACTTTACACTAACATTCAGATGCCATGAATGTACATTTAAACAACGTTTATTGAATATGTAAAAACATCGCGCTTTTATGACCGATTAAGTAATGGAAAGTCCGTATATTCTTTGGCAAGCTTTATCACTATGTACAACGATGGTTAGGAATTCGGTAATGGAAATTATGAAAACCGTTCGTATTTCTGTAATGTTAATGGTAAATTCCATTTCAATAAAAGTAGGGCAAAACGGTTTGAACAAAGTAAATGTATATGGAGGTTTCTTCAATGAACAAGGATGATTTAACCAGGTGTTACGAAACGATAAGCGTTTTCTGTTTCACCAAGGCAACCTTTTCCTTCCTACAAGAGAGCAAGGTAAACAATAACGGAACCTAAAGGCATACTAACGAAGACGTCCAATTAAGTATTACACAATACAAAGAACCTTTAATAAATATAAATCGATTGAAAAGTGTATAGGTTGAAGTATAAATGTACAGTCGACTGATAGTTGTGCAGAGCAATAGAAACAGGCAGACGTTCAAATACTTATAGCACAGATAAAACTGTTATAATCTTATATAGATAAATACAAAAGGGTTACGCTAAGCACAGAATAATCAATTTAATTATGAAGTTATCTGCTCAGACAAATGGCTATTTCCATAAACATGTTAAGTTGAAGAAAGAGCTGAGCTTTCCGCGAGTTAGATGACGAGATAAGTTAGAGGTGATGTCGGCTTCCGCGAACGGCCTCCGACATCTTAACGCTGATTTTTGTCTCCATGGAGACACGGCCGTCGCACTGATTTTACACGGAATACATTTGTTAACCTAACAACTCCAATACAGTCATTCATGTAGTCCTTGTAGAATTCCCGACGAAACACCGGCCATTTTTTTTAGCACAGGAATATGTACTTCACTGCTGAAAGTGATGGCCACTATCGTAGAGAAGTAAATGAATTATTGTCGCCGATCTTCATCAGTCTTCATTTCAATGTCACACAAGCAGTCTCTAAGGTGCTAACCTTTCGAAAAACGTATTTCCATCTCTTATGACATTATTTCTGTTACTCTATCGAATTTGACCATTTATGACTCCTCAGACGATATTTGTACAACTCCGTGTTAAACACAGGACAATGTCACCACACGTTTGTCACTTTTAAAGCTTATTTGGCTCTACTGTATCTTATTCTGAATTTGTATGAGAATCTGCCACTCACTTATGTGTCTCTCGGATAATGTAAAATCATTGGATACTAAATTTAATTCCTGGTAAGAATCATATAAAAAGACAGGCAAATGAAAAGCAACATTCATTACTATTATAAAATAAAATTGGATGCAGTACAATTTATATTTATATATATATAAATTACATTATGCAACCAGTTGTTTCGTCCTTCTTGGAATTGGCATTATATCATTTACCTAATTTTTAAACATCTCTGTTTGATGTTAATCACCTTATTTTTTAATCCTGCGTGCCGCTCGAGGAAAAATTAATTCGGCCAAAACAAATGTAAAAAAATCCACTATTGGATATTTCTAAACGAACACCAAGTACATGTGATAAATTATGACATGTGTCATAACTGAATCAGATATATGTCGACCTTGACATTTGAGTTAATAAATTTGAAAGCCATAAATTTAGTAATATACTGATTTTAAAGAAAGCTAATATACAGCAAATTTAATATTTCTGACTTTTCTGGGTCACCGAGAAAATATGTAAAATGTAATATCGACACTCGCAAGTGACACAACCAGAACACTCGTCCGACATGTGTCAGTATTGCCAAAATCAGATGAACAGTGTTCAAATTTAGACCCGGAAAAGTTCCTCAGACAGACAGAGTCCTATCTAATATTCCCCTCAAACGCGTTTCGAACGGAATGAAGATTGACGGTAAACCTCGGTAACTAATGTCCACCAGTTGTATCTATTACCTGCAAACACTGAAACTGTACAAACGGCCACAAGTCAATAACATTTTCAGTACCAAACTGAATCATACTGCTTGTTCGTCCTTCTAGGACTCGTCAACGAACATATTCTGATTAATTTAGCAAATGATTCAAACACATATGTAGACTTATTGCTATAAGCTGCATATTCACCATATAAAAACTTAGATCGTCTCGCTTACATACAGCTTATTGTCAGCTGTTATTAAATGAGTTTATCAAGCCTTTGATTTAAACCTGGCGTTCGGTTGTTGTACGTGCTTATTGTCTAAACGACTCCACCGATCCACATTTGATGTCTCGCTAACAGATGTCATAATTTTCTGTCGGCGCTTCCCTTAAAATGAATTTGTTTAGTACCTTATTTATAGTTCAAAAGAAATTTAAGAAAGACCACTTTAAATACGATAGAGTGTAACAAGATTTATTTCCAACGTAGCAGCAAATGTGCAGTATGAGTGACCTTTTTAGTTACCAGCTAGCTGTTAATTAAATGGTGAAAAGCACAAAGCTGTATCCAATTAAGTAACGTTGTAAAAAACCCTGAATGCATTTATCCAATCTCCAACAAATTATACCTTACGTTGTATAACAAATGGTTATAATGTTAAACTCAACCTAAAGACACTATTATTTAAGGAAAAACAAAGACCAAACACATTGCTCGTACAATTTGTGATAACAATTTGTTTCTGGTCTTCAATTTAGCAGTATTAAGGCATACTATATATAATGCCCGTAAAACATTGGATCAGACCAATACTATTTTAACATAAATAGTTTGGTAATTGCTTTGACTCCAAATGCAGTGCTAATAAGCATGTGCAATCATCCTTTTTTTTTTTGCAAAAGATTTCTAGAGAAGATCCGTTAAATTTTCATTTTCCAAGTTTCGAAATTACATTTCAATAAGCGCAGTATTTTGTTCTTTTACTAAAATGTTTAGTTTCGTTCCATTTTCTATTGTTTAGCGTCAAAAGCTAAGGTCATTTAAGGACGACATCTAAATGTATGAATTTAAGGCATTTGTTAAGTACATGGTTTAGGGAGCCGCGATGTGTTTAAGAAAACCTCCTTATGGTAAAGCTGAGCTAGAGACGGCTTAATAGTGTAGCCACACTGAAATGTACCGCCAAGTAAGACCCAAAAAGTATATTAAAACTTTATCACATTACACTGACAATAAGGGATCCAGTTCGTTACATGGTTATATAGATATGTAAAACGCAAGGAATAATAACTACAATTTTCAAAGGTATATCTTGGTCAGAAAACAGAAACCTTTCACAGAGGTGCCAAGAAAAATGCCGTAGGAAAGACAATACGAATGAATACATGAAGACAAATGATAGTTTAGAAAAAGGAGAAAAGATTAAAAAAAATAGCATCTTACGATCATGCAACGGAAAAAACAGGTATAGTTCTGACGCCTTACTTGTAGGAACAACAACAAAAACAACATGTGAACAGGAAAGTAAAAGGAAAATAAGACCAGATGTTCCGGAAGAGTAAGCACCTTCAATACGTGTAGTTAACACTTGATTAGCCACCATATCATTCCTTGTATTCCTGAGTAACATTCAATTTTTGTTCAACTTATTAAGATACTGACCACACGTCAGGTCCAATAATGTAATACTGTCAGAAGATACCAATGCTTCAGTTCAAAGGTCTTATTCCAAACTTAATAATTGTTTGCGAGTTTAATGAACTGAGCAGATTGAAATCTGCGATTTACGTAAAACATGTTTTTCTCTTATTCGTTAATGTTAAAAAGGATTATTATCACTGATATTTTCACATAAAGATTTGTGTAGACTTGCTACAAACATTTTATTTGATAAATATTTTTTAAGAAAGGAAACATCTTTACTGAAGGAGACTCAATGTTCAGCTGATAGGAAATTATATTCCGTTACCAATCATTTTACTACCCTGTATATTAAAGTAATATAATTTGCGTATTTGATTTCAAATACGTTGTGATTTAAGTATTGTTACGTCTCCGATATGATAAAATTCTTTCGAGAATTATACGGCAGAATTGTATAACATATTCCTAAATATTAATTTGTGAGTTAGTATCGCCGTACGTACCGTGTACGCCTTAAGTTGTTTATGTTATGTAATTAATATTATCACCATCTTCATTCAGGACGAGCTGTATCTGTGTATCAAATCACACAACAGCCACACAAGTAGATTTTTAAAGAGACAAACTTTACATGTACGCTAGCGCCAACATAATGAACTTAACTGCATCATATATCTATTCCGTCCTTCAATGACTCGTAAGTGATGTTAAAGCCTCATTTTGAAGCCAAGTAGGCGACCGAGGAAAATCTAAAGTGATTGAAAGAAAAATCGAAATCGAACTTGAGAGGTACATAAGCCTTTAAAACCTATCATACAATAAATTTCGCAATGTTCATATATCATTTGATAAAAACGACAAATACATGTGTATAATCTTAATTTAATGATTAAAAAGTGACAAGCGTTTGACGGTAAACACAGGGGACTAAAAGTTCACTAGCAGTGTATTGATTGAGGTATATTTCTCTAAGTGCATGTATGCTTTCTACTGTGAGTTTACCTTTGTGCCATAAAATAGTATTAGGCGAGCATTTTATTTTCTTAAATCTAATAGAAACGAATATTTAGATAACAAATGTCTCACAACTTTTATTTGTCAGAGTCTGTTGGTAAACCAGGAACTAAAGCGACAGATGCTAGAGAACTGGCAGTCCGAAAAAGAATCTTCTGATGCTGATAGCACATTTGGAAGATCCGGATGGAAGCGACTTCTGGCACAAAGACGACTGGCTGAACAACAAAAACGATCAGGCAGAGGTAATTAGATAAATGAGTAAATCTAATTAAAGGATTAATACATCAACCCATTTATATTTCAAAATAATGCAGTGAGTTAATGCTAACAACAAATTTCTTATTTTTTTAGCTTGATCTTTCAAATATACAATTTCAGTCAATAGAACAAAATGCACTGCCATAATGATTTTTCATTTTTTTTTCAGGCGGTGTTGCACTCTGTTTATGGAAAGTTTGTCCAGCAGGTCCTTGGCTGGTATCTCAGAAAAAGTAAAACACCTTGCTTAGAATTCGACGAGTAAACACATGACTTTACTTCATCTTGGAACGCAAATGTGAATCAGTGCGTATAGAAATTTTCAGCCGTTGTTTTCGGTAATCTGAGAACCCAAGTATCTAGTATGTTATGTTAAACACCGTTTCATAAAACAATGCGATATTGCTATCCGACCCCGAGTTAACGAGCAAAAAATATAATACCTATATATGTATATTTCGTAATATCATTCATACAGAGAGAAATAAAATATATGTGATTATGTATCGAGGCAATTCTTGCTGTTTAATGCGTTTTTATTGCTTTTGAAATGACAATTCTTGCTTATAAATTGTCTGATGTACGAAAGTATGTATGCCCAGACGCCTTTCCATTAAAGCTGAGATAAATTTGTTACCATAAGTACTCCAAAATACCTCAAAGACACGGGATACCATAACAACAGTTACGAAAAGATCGACCTAAGTACTATTACTTTATTGTGGCATCTGATAAAAATGAAAATCTATTATTGATAATGTGACACACATCCTAATAGACATCCTTCACTTGAAGAGCTCCAACTGTTTTCGCAATGGTATATGTATGGTGTCATCATACAGTAAAGAAATTAAGAAAGAACTGCAGCATCCTGAGGAGTAAGCTTCTTCTGTTGCTACATAAAAGACAGATTTTTCTGCGTCGAGGTTTTTAATAAACGGTCATTAGAAATAAGATCGACTTAGGATGGTTAGATACATTAAAAGCAAATTCAAAAGTTGGCCTTCATACCGCATAGGGAATATGTCAACATTTTAGATACGCAGTTACCTTGAAACAATCTCTTGATTGTCTTTAGTTTGCATCTCCGAGCCCCATTCAGTAGGTTCTGTCTGTCCCGCCGTGTAAATATACTTAACGAAATGTAACATCAGTAAAATGACATGTAAACAACATAAGTGAGAGAAAGGACATATTATTATATTAAGAAAGAGGAAACTCGTGATAAGTCAATCGAAATTGACAATTTTATTCATACATTGCTTAGGAATTAGTCTTCAATGTTAGCCTTAATGCATTTATATATCGAGGTTCACGATCGATGTTAAAAATCTGCAGTGTCATCAATATACGCTAGGGAAGATGTGTTCACGACTAAAATAAAATGTCCTTCTACTGCTGTTCTAAAGAAAAACCTGCCGTTGATATGATTATACAGAAATCAAAGACAGGATTAATTCTGAATGGAATAAAAAGACATCATCGGCGACTGTTTACTGCAGTCAGTTTACCAATCTCGACACAGCTATACAGGATGAGAAGGAAACTGATCAATAAACATTTATAGAGACCAGTAATAAAATTTTCTCCAAAAACAAAGTCGTCTCGTGATATAGGAGTTTATAAAATAACATTAAATAAAAGATTACTGCATGATTGATGTGATATAAAACAGTCGTCAACACTCAGTCTCTACCGATTAGGTTACGTTAAACGTAACAGGTTTATAGTCGACATAGTTTTCCTCCGAAGATGAAGGGATATATTCACAGAAAAAACACGAGATTCAATTTTTTAAAAATCATTTCAGTTATTTAAATTAAAATTAAAATTTAACAGCTTCATATAAAAAAATTACGGATGAAAATTACAAGGTTATTGCGTCATATTTCCCTATATGTAAAAGTTGCCCGATCGAATGTGCACACCATATACACTTTACTTAATAATACTCTGGGCTACTAGGACCGAACCATCAATTTCATTCAGCTAAGTGCATCTAGAGTATCAGCACAAGCAAGCACTTCATCATTCACCTGCGTCGTTGTGCAGTTACCAACAATATGGTGGTATGTTACAATCATATCCAAAATTTAATTAATTAGAACATCGAACAAAAGAAATATTAACACTGAGACTCCTGAAAAAGTACAAGGAGAATAAGACCAGGTGTTCCGTTAGAGTAAGTATCCTTTGCTTTATCGACGACATCCGTCATGTACGCCTTGGTCGATCCAAATAAGTAGTGTCACGTTATGAAATAAAGATATACAACAATAGAACCAACAGGCAAACGAACGAGCATTAAATTAACACATTCAGTTTATGTCATTGTGAAATCTAGAGACCTATCTTTTGAATATATAATTTGTGAGCCTTGTACACTTATACGACATGGTTTACAAGAAGAGCGATAGTGAAGTATTAACCTACAAAATACTTTTACCATGGAATTATAAGTCATAACGGAAATGAAGATGGTACTCCTGATTACTACTGACAATGCTAAACGACTGACAGCGTTCAGATTACTGAAGTTTGGGAGATACAATACGCATGTACATATATGGTCAAAACAAATGGTCTTTCTGTCTTGTCAACTATAACAACTGCTTTCATTTTGTATAGAATTTTCTTTATGGTTGGATTTGAAATAAAGATTACATACCTATATTCTTATCAAAATAGCACTTTTAGGCCTACAACTGTCCGTGGTATGCTACTGAGGCCGGATAGAAATACATGTGCATGACTTATGATGTCGTCTTGTTAATAAGCTACTGGGAAAACAATACAAAATAAAGCGTATAAAGAAACAAAAGGCAAGTTTTAGATGCTAAAAACGGGCAGTTATATTAACGAGTCCAAATTCCGCTCTGGAAACTTAATTTCATTCAATGGTTATAAAGCCTAACAAGTATTGAAAGGTCCTTTCATCTGTTCGTATTTAAATCCGAAGAAGAGCATTAATGAAATGCTTAAACATGTTAATAACTCCCAAAAGTTGTACCATCATCATTTATCAAAAAAAATATATAGCTATGCCATGATAACATACGATACCTAAATTGGAACAGATCCCTTGAAGGTGATCCATAGAGTCGAAATTACTATAATGTAAGAACAAAACAAAAATATTAACAAAAACAAAGAACAATTTGACGTGGTAAATATCATGAGAGGTGTTCGCAGGGCAAATATAATCTTGTAAAGTACGAACGTATAGCGTCGTATCATCATACGTCCGGTCAACTGTTAAAGGATATATAAGGCAACTATTGACGTGTAACGATTTACATGGTTCAGTCGTTAATATGGAAACATTTCACTACATTTTCTGTTATTGTTTCGTTCAGACACATTTAAGTTGACTTCATGTTGACATTTTTGACGCACACGAGAATGCTAAAAAGTCTCGTTAAATTCGTACAAAAATCCGCTCTAAACTAAGTGATGGTCCCTAAGGTAGTAAAACACGATTTAAAGGCTCTTCAAACACAAAATATGGCAATCAGCAATACTGATTTGAAACTATCGCTCTCTTAGGAATTGGGAAATTTATTCTTCCATATATCATACTCCTTCTGCAGACGATTTGTCATGTAAAGTGTCCACATTTTTACAACTTACCTGAAATAAACCTCTTATATTTTTGATGACGCCATGCACCACTGTTATAAAAAAACATGTTTTAAGTTATGTGTGAAATGTTTTATATTACTGTTCGAAGGGGGATTTCCGTTTGTGATAAACTTGCTACAACATGTTTGTTGTTGCCAGACAATGCACTGAGCCAAAGTCACGAAAATGATACTTTGTTCGATAAACATTGAATCAGTCTAGGACTCTCGTTATCAGTATAATGATACCAGTTGAGGCATATTGCTACTGTTTTAAGCTTATATCCATGTAGTGTGATATCACAATTAAATTGTCCATTAGATACATATGAAGTAAAACCTCAAACAATTTGATAACCGTTTCGAACACAAAACTTAATATATTTGATGGTTTTCTGTTTAAGTTAATGCCAATAGGAGAAAAACAAAATATATTAACATGTCAAAATAATCATCATCCAAACTCAAATTCAAAAACTATTACAAAATATGAACAAAAGAATTTTTTTCACGAATATTCCCCAAAAAAGTACAAGAAGAATGAGACCAGGTGTTAAGGTAGAGTAGGCTTCTTCTGCTTCAACAAGGATACCCGAGTGGTAAATTAGGGTTATCCAAGTAAGTAATGACATGTTTTCAAATGTAAGCAAGGTAAACACTAACGGAACCTTGCTGATGTTTAACTGGAACCAAACAAATATAGACCTGAGCCAAATAAGTGAAGCAAGATGCTCATATCTTTGACGTCCGGAAACCATGACATGACCTTGGCAAAAAGAGTACCATTATGAACAAGGCAGTATTCTACCGTGTGTGCCGCTTCTAGGTTATAAAACAGTTATTGAAAATGGACTTGCAGAAAACACAGTGAGGAATTCGTTGAAAGCCACTTATTCAAACTTGGCTTAATGGGATGCCGAAAGCAAAAGAGGATATGAATAGAAAGATATTTAAGGATTAATCACTGCTGATGTTTCACAGGAAAAATGGACATGTAATAATATAATATCTTCTAACCTCAAACTTCTTATGATTACTATCCTATCATTGGTGATGTCTCATTTCCTTTTTTAATTTGATCATTTCTCCTCAGTTGAATCAGTTTAGTTTTATTTTGTTTAATGTCCTACATCTTCGATAACCAGGTACGTGATAAGTGCATGTGAGGCTGTGTCAGCTTGTTTTGTGATTGTGCAACTTTATAATGCAATACAGCAATGAAGTGTACTTCCGAAGACCCCAACCAGGACATCACACCCGGTGTTGATAACGGACAGAGCAGGAGTTATACTAATACAATATTAAATGTTAAACGGTGAGTATTAAAAAGACATTTTATAGCTTATAGTACGTCGTGGTCATGAGACAAAACACAAAACCTTCCACATAGCGACAAATGTTTAACTGATGGCCAAACGTGAAGCATTAGGGAAAATATGTTTGTTCCAACAGTCGTTTCCTATATAGTAAGGGCAGCATGTAAAATCCCGGTATTTCAGGGAAAGGAGAGGATATTTATCGGTGAATAAGGAGACTTCTTGCCTATCATAAAAAGTTGCTATTGTGTGGTCCCTCTTATAGTTATCGTGAGATCCTCGAAAGTTGCGTTGACCATTG